TTTCCTTGTCTCAGCATTTTTGCTGCTTCCCTGAGTTGGTAGGGTGGTTTTGTGTGCTTGGTGTCCTTTATGACCCAGTGGGTCAGCCTCCCTTGTTACTTGAGATAGACACACTTGGTGCTCCCCTTTGTGGACGGTGTGTACAGCCTTGTTGTAGTTAAGTCTTGATTATTGTTGGTATCACTGGGAGGAATTGACCTCCAGGTCATTTGGATGTGAGTATCAACTGGGGCTATACCATGATGCCTTCTGTATTGGACATAGTTTTATAGGATTAGACTTGGAAAATTGCAAAAGCCTCTATGCTCAGCTTGGATGGGGTAGAGTCTCATGGCTGAGCTGACAGTTTTGGCTTCCCTCCAGCCCTGCCCTTATGCACGCACCTCAGATCTCTGCCTTCCAGGTATCCTCTGAGTTTCCACCCAACAGTCCAGATCCCCTTGTAAGAGTGTGGGTTCCCAGGGGCTCTCTCAGAACTGGATTGAGTCTCTGTATTATATTTTTAATCTTAGTGCAGTTGGGACTAGGATTCAGTACAGTCTGGAGCTTCTGACTCCTTCTGCTATGGAGAGGCCATGGCAACTTTCGCATTCAGACCTCTCTGCGCACACTCACTCGCACGCTGCGGCTCCCAGCTCCCCCGAGTCTCCCAGTCTCTGAGTCTCCAGATGCCTTTCTCTATAGTCTAGACTCCACCCATATGAGCCTGGGTCCACAGGGTTTCGGTCAGGGTTGAGGTTCAGTGCAGTCAGGGCTTCCTTTCCCCTCCCCCAGCCAGGCACTCGGCCTCCCTTCCTCCCTGAGCTCACATCTCCCTACCTCAGCGCTTGTGGCTCCCTTGATCTGTGAGCCTCTCTCCTTTTTTCTAGTTGTAGATTTCCCACCCAGCCAGCTTTCCTGTGGTTTTGGATGATGTCTGTTCTGTCTTTTAGTTGTTGTTTTGAAATTGTTGTGCAAGGCGGCAGCTTCAGTACTTACCTAGGCCGCCATCTTGGTTTCCGGAGAAGGGATATAGTTTTTCTATATATACTTCTATGTTGGTGAATGGGTGGAGAAATGCCATGAGCTGACAGTGGGTGTCTCTGGAAAATAAGTCACTGAGTAGCTGACTGCTGTTAGACGATAGAGCATGTGTGTTAGTCACTTGCGCTAGAGTGAATGCCCAAAACCCGTCCCAAGCCCTGGACCATGTGTTCTGAGCCCAGAATCCTATTTGTGGTGAAGTCCTTGCTGTTCCTAATCCCTCCATGGGCAGGAAACTTGGGAGGGAAGGTCCTTATCCTTCACTTGCCCCAGCTTCCTGTTCTAAAGAAACATCTCCCAAGAACATGGTGGTAGATTCCTTGGGGCTGGGGACTCAGCCTCCCCACCCCCAAACCTCCTTGATTCTTTGGCCCATGGGCACTGCCTCGCTGGGTCCTGGCTCCCTGTTGGAAGCTGTGCCTGGGTCAGCACGCCCATTGGCATCAGGGTGACATTGACTAGGACAACATGGCATGAGGTGGCCTTGGGTTCCCTGGCAGTAGGCAGGTGTTGTTCTGGCCCTGCTGGCTATGCTACCCTGCCTGAGCCTGTTCATCTCAGCCTGGCTTCGCCTGTGCAGTAGAGAGAACACCCCCACCTCCCCCAGAACAGCGGGAGGTCACGCGGAAACAAGGCTGAGTGTGTGAATCGCAGCCACTCCTCAGCTCCAGACGCCCTTCCGATCTAAGCACTGCATGCCCCAGGGCACCCAGGGCACTAGATGTGGGATGGCCAGGATAAGGTTGTGCCTTAAATCGCTCTTAAAACCCAACCCTAGTGGTTATGCTCTGTCATTAGGATCTACACTTAAAATTCTAGATTTAAAATCAGGGAAAGAATTTCTCTGGTTCTCCCCCTCCCCCTCATCCCTCCAGGCTTTCTTGGCTCCCTCCTCCTGCATGTGCTGCTGAAGGATCCCGTGTTCTGGTTGGGGAAGGGTGGTTCCCATCGCATCACAGCGTCTTCCTGAAGGAGAAGCCCTCGGAGTCAGTGTTCTGCCTTCACCATGTGGGCCTACCGCTCACCATGCTTCTCTGTGATGTAGGAACACTGCTGAGACCCCCTGCACATCACATATATTGAGGAAGGGCCAGGGCCACTGGCCTATCCTCCTTTCTTATGGACACTAAAGGTTATGTGACAGACCCTACTCCCTCTCGCTTTGTCTGTAAAAAATCTACAATCCACCAGAGTAGGCCTTGGAGTTAAGTATTTTGTTTACTCCATTTAGTGGCTCTATCTTTTCCCTACTTAATTTTTTCCTTAACCTAATTACCACATATACTAAAAATAAGCAACTACAAACCACTTTAAAAAGGAGATAGAGAATAAACAGGTAAACAAATAAAAGTAAACCATTTGTTTCCTTTGACAGGTCAGCCATCTTCACCCTCTTTCTTTAAAATATCAAGACGACATAATAAAGTCATTTAAAGAGTATTGGTACACAAATAAATCACACACACACACACACACACACACACACACTCAAAATCTGATGCTATGGGAACACTATGGTTTCTTTCTTTCTCCTCTTACTAGATTTCCAATTAAATACAGATAGTATGTTACAGAGCACAAAGGAAAACTGTTACCGACTATATGAAGCTAAAGACATCTTGTAACTCAGAAGGTACTTTTGATGGCATCTCAAAAATGCCTTAGGTATCCTCTTTGGGATTATATTAGCGGCAATTCTTGTCACGACATTTTAAAATAATTCCTGCAACTGTCCCGATAGAGACTCAAGGATAACGTCACCAGCCTCTGTCCTGAAAGAAAATCTTATTTGGGGTGCCTCTAACTCTGAGAAACACGAGATGGTTATAAATGACCACAGCCACCCAAAGCTGGGCTGGGCCTCTGGCCTCCTGGCTGTGCCGCCGCTGCCCAGGCAGTGAGCATGGCGAGTGTATTCACATCACAGCACAGAGTGCAGTCTGAATAAGTGGCTTCCCCAGGAGAACAGTGTTTGTTTGCTGGGTTTGCACACAGATGGTTTGTGGGGTTTCTAAATGAAGTAAAAAAAAAAAAATGCTATTTTTATTTGCCATCACTCTGCTTGTCTTTTTTCTTTTATAAATGTATTTTTATTTATTTCAGAGATGGAGGGAGAGGGAGAGAGAAACATCAATGATAAGAGAGGATCATTGATCAGCTGCCCCCTACTAGGGATCAAGCCTGCAACCCGGCATGTATGTGCCCTGACCAGAAATCAAACTGAGACCTCCTGGTTCATAGGTCAATGCTCAACCACTGAGCAACGCCAGCGGGCTCTGCCTGTATTTTTCTTTTTGCAATTCTAAAGAAGATCTAACTTATGTTTCCATTCATTTTCAAATGGCTTCATCAGAGGTCTGTGGGTCTAACCACAGTGCCACCCTGGCTGAGGACTTCTCTCAATCTCCACAATAGCAACCAGATTCCTAAGGCTCAAACCTGGAAATAACTGTGCACGAGCTTGACAAATGACAGCGTGGGGACACGCGATGGGACACTTAGTGGCAGGCGGTCCCTGCTCCTACACGGGGGCTTCGCTTAACACAACAAAAACAGCAAGAACCTGATGCCCAGACACTGGACAAGAATATGCCGTGGTCAGGGGATTCCTGGGGTGTCTGGTGAGAACCCCTCAGGCATGTGCGAGCACAGGAAGTGCTCCCCCCAGGCGGTGGCCTTGGGCAAGTCTCTGGACCTCCCTTTCTTCATCTGCAGACTGAAGCCCAGGGATCCAACCACCAAGTACGCATAGACTGCCTGCTCTGTGCCAGGCCTGGGGCATCAGGATGGAAAAGACAGCCCAGTCCTGACATGGACCCCAGGGAGCTGAGTAGGTGGCAGAAAGCAACCCCTGTGATGCGGAAGTACATGGGTATTGCAATGATACTCTCAAAACCACGTGTGAGAACCACGTGCCCGGACCTGTTCTGAAGATCCTCTCCTCTGACCCTCCAACATCCATCTAGACAGATGCTTGTGTCAGTCCCACTCTGCACACAGCCCCCTGAGGCACAATGAGGCGGCTGGGTCAGGGTCCCCAGATGAAGGTGACGGGATTCCACGACCACCTGGCTGACTCCTCAGGCGTGCAGACTGCCCTCCTCATGCCCTGCAGATCTGGGGACGTGTTTAGGGCACTACTGACCCCCGTTCTGCTGGCTGTCTTCCTGTCTGGATCAGGAGGAAAATGTGTGCTCTGCCCTGGCTGTTGGGCACTCACTGTCCACTCCCTGCCATATGGCACACCACCTCCATCAGCCAAAAGGACCAGCCAACTCACAAGAGTAAGCACAACAAGGAGAAGCATGCCTGCTGCCCTCCCCGGTCTGAAACGCAGTTGCGTGGTCAGTTACAGCTCAAACTTCTTAACAAGGAACAGTGGACAAGAACCCAGACGTGCACGCCTGCACTGGTGTTGTGAGCCACTCATTGAAGCCTCACACTCCACTAACTCCACCTGTTCACTCACCCATTCACTCATTCACTCCTTCACTCACTCACTCACTCACTCACTCACTCACTCACTCACTCATTCACCTGTTCACTCACTCACTCATTCACTCCTTCACTCACTCACTCACTCACTCACTCACTCCTTCACCTGTTCACTCATTCACTCACTCACTCCTTCACCTGATGACTCACTCACTCATTCAGCCAGTATTCATTTGGGCCCACTTTGTGGCAGGTACTGGACTGGGGAAAGTCTTGTCCTCATGGAGCTCACACTAGCAGTGAAGACAAATAGCACAACAAACAGCAAGTGCACTCACGATGAGCGGGCCTCTCCTGCCCCGAGCTCAGACCTGCAGCACCCACGTGGTAAAGGGCACAAAGCAACTGGGACCCAGCTCATCAGTGTCCATCCTGCTGCCCATCAGACCAGGAACCTCAGCATTCACACGGTGCCAGGGCCCATCCCGAAACAGCAAGCCAGAGTCTCTGAGATGAGGCCTTGCCTCCACTCTGCGGCCCACCTTTCTGCTCTTGCTTGGCCCAGAAGAGTCTGACCCGCTCGCGGATGTGCTTGTCCTCGCGCAGCTTCTTCTGCCACTGACGCAGCTCCTGGATCTCAGGATCACAGCGAACCTGAAAAACCCCCAAAACATGAGTTCCCCTGGAACCTGAACATCCCCCAAATCATTAGTCCCCTTCCACTTGGGTGAACTCGGCTTGTTAGCCCCACATGGGACCCTACAAACGATCTGACAGCTTCTGGCTCCAATGAGCCATCTCTGCTCTAAAGTTTACATAAAGTGTGAGCATAAATACAGCAGGAGGCTTTGCAGTTCTGATGGAGGTGGGAATAGAAATATGATGGGGCCACATATGCAGTTTCAGATTTCCTTGCAGTCGCCTCTTAAAATGTTAAAACAAGCTGCTGGCTTTATATTTAAAATCATATTTTATTTAAGCTACGAGATCCAAAATGTCATTTCAACATGCACTCAATATGAAAGCATGACTGAAGAGTCCCAGGTTCAATTCTGGCCAATGGCACATGCCCGGGTTGCATGCTCAATCCCCAGCAGGGGGTTGTGCAGGAGGTAGCCAATCAATGATTTTCATCATTGATATCTCTCTCTCTCTCTCTCTCTCTCTCTCTCTCTCTCTCTCTCTCTCTCTTTCTCTCTGTCTCTCTCTTTTCCTCTCTGAAATCAATAAAAATGTTAAAATTAAATTAAAAATTACTTTTAAAGTATATAACTATGCCAATTTCAGAGTCAAAGCAGCCCTACATGAATGTCATAGAACATGAGGTAATCACCAGACTCTTTCCAGTTACAGATCAGTGTTTTTCTGTAGTTCTGAAAGGCTGATGTCATAGGAGTAGGCATCCTCAACATTCCTGGTCTGGGCAAGCCCAGACCCTCCTTGGGGCTAAACAAGATCATGCACAACTTTCCCCAGGCTTCTCTGCACCAGGGACTCAAGGCCACAAAACCCTTCGTCTCTGCACTCTGACACTGACACCCTCAACAGAACAGACCGGAGGGTCTCCTGGTTACTAAAGAAAGGTGGCACTGACTGTAGTCAGCAAGTCGGCTGAGCCTCATTACAGTCAGGCTCTTTCTTTATACTTGGTTTATCTTGAGAGCTTGGAAGGGCACACAGAGTGCGGGTTTATCAGGGAGGGAGGAAATGGGTGCAAGGGCTTTCCATCTCTACCCCATATCCTTCTGGGTTGGGTTGGTCTGGACCAGAAACCCTTTATTGTTCTTGATTTCAATCAAACTAGAGGCCGTGCATGGGGCCACGGAGGCAGGGGGTACCTCAGCCCGGCCTGTGCCCTCTTGCAGACTCGGAGCCCTTGGGGGATGTCTGACTGACATAGATGGGTGCCACTGATCGCCCAGGTCCTGGGAGTCCAAGTCCAGGCTCTGCACTGAGGCAGCCGCCTTCCAGTGGTCTCCCCAAGAGCAAAGGCATGGCTTCCTGGGCGGCCTTTCCCAGGAAGCCATGCCTTTTTGTTACAAAGTCCTTTAACAATAAAGCATATCACAGTGTGACTCGGAAAAATGGAATTCCCCAATAGGTCACTTGGTGACAATTGAGAGAAAGTTCCTCCAACTTTTCTTGGTGCTTACCCAACTCATCAGGGATGACTAAGTTGTAAAAGCACTGAAGGTATTCAGTGACCTTTGCAATGATTTACAGGATTAAATTATAGGCCAGTTTGCTATGCCAAAGCCCATAGCACCGCACAATGCTTTGACTTTTTCCTTGCAGGAATACCCAGAACTGACATTTATGTGCTTATAGCTGCTCAGATGTTTCCAGTGTACAGTCAAGGGTGAGAGCCACTGCTCTGGACACTTAATGCCTTCACTGGTGGCTCAAAGCAGTCCCCACACCAGCAGTGTCAACATTGCCCAAGAACTACATGGCCTGGCCTCCTGGCCCGGATACTCTGGGGGGATAGCCAGCAACCTGTGTGCTACCAGGCTCCCCAGAGAGCTGGGATGCAACCTAGTACGTGTGAGCAGTCTGATGCTGAGCCCGGCAATCCCGGCTCCCTGGGCCCAGCCCTGGACAGCTCTGCTGCTCTCCTTATCATGTGGGGGCATCTAAGCCCAGCTCAGCATCCAGGTGAGCCTCAGAGTAGGTTCCAGAGTCCGGCTTTAAGACTGGGAGCTTCCATTGCTGTCCCCTGGAAAGTTCCTTCCATCATGGAAGACGGTGCGTCTGGCTACTGCAGGATGAGAGCATGTGGAACCCTGCAGGCCTCAGTCAGGAGCCAGTACCAGGCCCCATGCAGGGGGTACAGGGCTGCGGCCAATTTAACCTCCCGTCCCCCCTCCATACACCCCTAGTCACCACTGAGTGCAGCTCTGCAAGTGAGTCAGGGAGGAGCCAGCAGCTAACACACAGAATCCTGGGAAATAGTCCATTCTTTTGGCTTTAAGTCACTAAGATTTAGCAGTTTACACATTAACTTTGCCTCCAGGAGACTGGTTAGCCCTTTAAAGAAAGACTAGAGGACAGTTGGACCTTAGGCCAGCTGCTAGGGGCTCAGATCCACACCCTTGTTTCTTTTTATTTTAAACTAGAGGGCCCGGTGCACAAAATTCGTGCACGGGGTTGGGCGTCCTTCAGCCCAGCCCGCACCCTCCCTAAACCCTCTCCACACTCTGGGGGGATGAACTTTTAACAGATGACAGCTCCATTGTTTCTTCCTTTTCATGCTTAAACTCATTGGAATTAGTAGGTATTCAGAGTGTGTATGCATTTTGGGTGAAAGGAACCATCGGCAGGTTAGAAATCCCAGACACTCGCTGCATGTCTCCCCACTCGGCTCTCCGCCTCGGCGGGCAGCAGGGAACCCGTGTTTCCTCTCCTTCACCCGCTGCCGGCAGGATGGGCAGGCCCCAGGCGCCGGCACCCCCAGGGCACGTTCCTCTGCAGCCACCCAGACTCCACACACCCCCCCCCCCCCCGTTCCCTGATAGGACGGACCCCTCCCCTCCTCTGGGTTCCCCATCTCGAACGCTGGCCCACCAGTGTGTCTGTCCCACCGGCCCCGCCTCAGCCCCGGAGAGGAGGCCTGTCCCTGTCATCTCACAGACACCCTCAGCACCCAGAGCACAGGCTCCCAGACACCTCAGCACCCAGAGCACAGGCTCCCAGACACCTCAGCACCCAGAGCACAGGCTCCCAGACACCTCAGCACCCAGAGCACAGGCTCAGACACCCTCAGCACCCAGAGCACAGGCTCAGACACCCTCGGCACCCAGAGCACAGGCTCCCAGACACCTCAGCACCCAGAGCACAGGCTCCCAGACACCTCAGCACCCAGAGCACAGGCTCACAGACACCTCAGCACCCAGAGCACAGGCTCAGACACCCTCAGCACCCAGAGCACAGGCTCAGACACCCTCGGCACCCAGAGCACAGGCTCCCAGACACCTCAGCACCCAGAGCACAGGCTCCCAGACACCTCAGCACCCAGAGCACAGGCTCCCAGACACCTCAGCACCCAGAGCACAGGCTCACAGACACCTCAGCACCCAGAGCACAGGCTCAGACACCCTCAGCACCCAGAGCACAGGCTCAGACACCCTCGGCACCCAGAGCACAGGCTCCCAGACACCTCAGCACCCAGAGCACAGGCTCCCAGACACCTCAGCACCCAGAGCACAGGCTCACAGACACCTCAGCACCCAGAGCACAGGCTCACAGACACCCTCAGCACCCAGAGCACAGGCTCAGACACCCTCAGCACCCAGAGCACAGGCGCTCTCCGAGGATGTGGGGTGCCGGAGGGGCTGTGCACGTCCCGTGGTGGGTGTGGGCGTGCTGGGCTGAGTGCTGGGCTGACGGCAGTGCAGTGGAGGGGCGGGGGGATGTGCGCATTGGGTCCGGGACTGGAGCGGGTGCACGTGGGTGACAGCGCGCTGGGGGACATTCACACAGAGGTGGGGGTGGGGGGAGGATGTATGCACCAGAGGCCTGCATGGTGCGGCCAGGAGGACGTCAATCTGGCCCGCCAAGGTGGCTGTCCCTGCGACCCTGTACCTTTTGGGCCAGGAGGCTGCACCAGAATCAGCCAGCAGAGAGGGTGAGGGCGAGGGCGGCCAGCTGACAGGGTTACATAGATGACCAGCAAGCCATCAGTCATAGGGGTCACCGCTACCACAGCCCCCTTGTCACTGGGGCCTGTGCCACCTGTAGCTGGGGTCCTCCCAGACCCTGGGCACACAGGGAGTGGGCTGCCTGCGCGATGCCTGCGGTGCTGTCTGCCTCCGGAGCCAGGTGTGCTCTGAGGGCAGGGTCTTCCCAAAGGCCTTGCTGGAAACAGCTAAGGGAGGGCGCCTCAGGGCTGGTGGGACTGAGGGAAGTGGGGTGTGGCATGGAGGTGGTGCCTGTGCTTCTGTTAACTTACACAGGTGTTTTATACCACAGCATGTGGCGGCAGCGGTGAGTGGTGCCTTGCAGAGCCTCGGGCCGAGCTGAAGCAGTGCTTGTGGGCCATCAGGGGCGCTCACAGCCACACCTCCATCATGTGGGGAGTATAGGTCGCCTTCTGCCCGGCCCACCTCCCCTGCTCCCGTCCCCGCTGCCACAACTCCCTGCCCACCCGAGCCTGCTGCGCGCACAGCTTGCTGTTTGGTCATCTGTCCAGTCGTTCAGGTCATGACAGCCTCTGACTTTTTATATATTAGGACAACACTTTATTGTTAAAAAAAAAAAGGGGTCTGCAAATCTGCATGGTGCGGCCATGCCCCCCACTACCACCATTGACCCCTCCAGCGTGCACCCACATCCCAGGCCTTCAGCACCCTATTGTCTGTGTCCATGGGTGATGAGAACATGCATATAACTAACATGATTAACTACCACCCACCCATCCCACCCCCTTCCATCTGAGATTCCGCATTCTGCTCCATGCTTCTATGCTCTGGATCTCTTTTGCTCTTCAGTTTATTTTGTTCACTAGATTCCACATATGAGTGAGATCATGTAATGCTTGTCTTTCTCTGACTGGCTCATTTCACTTAGCATAGTACGCTCCAGGTCCCTCCATGCTGTCTCAAAGGTAAGAGATCCTTCTTTGTTACAGCTGCATAGTACTCCATGGTGTAGATGTA